CAGACAAGACAGACAGACAGACAGACAGACAGACAGACAGACAGACAGACAGACAGACATACAAACATACATGCATACATACATACATACATAAATACATACATGCATGCATGCATACATGCACATGCTTGTGGAGGAGGGACTGGGACGAAAGCTAGGGCAGAGCAGCAGTGGAGAAGCCGAGGCAGCCAAGCGAACTGCCTACCGATGTAAAATAAGTGGCCCACCTATTCAGGGTGCGTCTCCCACCCCCCCCCCCCCCCCCCCCAATGAGCATCATCCGGGCCCGAAACGCCAGCATCATGAGCATCATGGGCGGCTCGTTTCTCCGTTCCAGGGCAAGCCGAAACACTCCTTTTCACGCCCGAAAAGGAGGGGGTCCGCCCCACGGCCAAAATGCAGCTCCAGCTGCAGTCTAGCTCGGGAAACCCACGACTTGACAGAATTTTGGGGGGGCCCTTTCCCCACACCCCTTGTTGCAACCTTCGGTTGGTAAGAAACTTCGCTAGCCCCGGAGGCTAGCTTTCGTGACATACATACATACATACATACTTACTTACTTACTTACGTACATACATGCATACATGCATGCGTGCATGCATGCATGCATACATACATACATACACAGACGTATAGCTTCGTAGGGGGCCCATTATGCAGCCACGTCCATCGCCTTCTGGGGCGCCCAATTGCTCTGCCAGCGCAGCCTGGAGCTGTTTGGACCCGCTTGGGGCCGAGTGCTCCCGTGAGGAAACCGAAGCTTGTCGGTGAACTGAGGAACTTCGACATTTTAAGTCCACGAATTGTCAATGAAGCTGATTGATTCTGAAAATCTGCGAACCAAAGCGCAGCCCTTCGGAATCCTCCATAATCTTCCATACGACCTGCCCACCTCCACTTGCTTGCTCAAGAGCTTCGCCCTCTCCGCCTGTCCAAGCTCACGCGCACCACATGTAGATGCAGCCAGTGCATCTGGCAAGTTCTGCGAGTTTTGCCTACACTTCACACAAGCATCTGAAAACTTCAACCCTGAAGCTCGCCTCGGCTTCATAGGCCTCGCGGAAGATAGCCTCGGCCTCTGAGTCGCCCTGGGCACCGGGAGAGAAACTCTAAAAGAGCAATCGCTTTGGGGTTCAGGGCTTGGCTGCTGATGACTAACTAAAGCACGATGACGGCGTCACTACGGCGTCGCCAAAGCAGTCGCACTCGCCGCGGCGTTGGAGGAACAGGAGCAGGAGCAAAGCCATGCTGCAGGTGATGAAACGGCCGTGTCTGAGAAAGAGACAGTGACCACGGCGGCCTGTGGCCCGAGACAGCTGGGAGCACGACTCTGCACTATCTTGGAATGCAAGTTTGTGCGAAGTGTATCCAAAGCGAGAACCGACGATAAAAACCTAAATTGGAACAGCGTTCGAAATCTCCCCACTCGGCCTCGCCCTCCTCAGCCTGTCACACCAAGGGGGCTGGGGAGCTCCGGAAGCTTTGGATCCTCTGCTCCGGCTTGCGGCTTAGCTGGCTTAGCTTTTGGGAAAGGACCAAACCCACTCCAAAACAGGGAAGCTTCAGAGACTTCCTTCTCGAAGCTCCTTTGCTTTAACCTTCCCAAACCGGGCAACGCAGCCTTTTTCCTCAGCTCATGACTCCGATAGTCACAGTTTCCCTTCGCAGGGCGGTCTTCTCTTCGTACCTGGCCCGGACACGGGCACGCCGGTAAAAGCAGGCGGCACAGAGACCTCAGACACGGCGGATTTCAAAAGGATGTCAGAGTACTGGAACCCACACCCATGCACACCCAGTGCAGCATCTTCATAGCGACGCCCTGCGAGGCGAGGCAGGGAGCACCAGATAAGCCAAGGCAGCCAAGCAGCAGCACACTACCAGGCCTGGGCTCTTTTCGGATATTTCTCTGTCTTTTTTGAGGTCCGATGCTTGGATGAGACAGCTTCATCTCTAGGATTGCCGAGGTTTTTTGCAGACAGCTAAGTCCTGCCAGGCCGCACGCAGCAGTTGCGCCCAGAAGGCCGGCAGGCCCAGGAGCTCCACCTGGCCCCAAGACAGGACATGACAAGAAAGTTGCCATGGAGGTTCTGACAGGCACAACAGCATCAACTTTGGGCCTTGGTCCTCTTTGCCGGGCTGCGAGGGAGCCGAAACGCGAGGCCAGAACTCGACGGCATCCATCACGGCACCTCCGGCACGTGCCGCAGATATGCGCTACTTAGCTACTCGGCATGCAAACCGAGAACCTTGAGAGAAAAGTTGAGCAGGGCACCATCCGCACCACGCCGAGCTTTGAAGGTGGATGGACCGAGCCGCCGAGGGCGAAGGTGGAGCAACTCGGGGGCAGGCGAGGACGGCCGGGTGGGGCAGACAGGCGGCCCAGACAATGCAGCCGTTATCTGAGCGGTTAGCATCATACAAGGCTAGGCATAGCATGAGAGTGAGTGAGAGTGAATGAGACTGAGTGAGATTGCTTGCGTGCCTTCGTGCGTGCATGCTCGCTTGCTCTGTTTGTGCGCACCCCCCTGTAGACAAGCTCTGCGTGCATACTGCAGCTGGTGGTTGGACATATACTATGCCGCGCTAGCGCAAGACTCCTTGCCGAAACAGCCGCCCTTGCGATCCAGAAAACTGTCCCTGTCCGAAATGAAAATGCTCCCCTGTTGAATTTCATCCGAGCTGCCCCCCAGCCGTAGTGATCTCCGGCATGAAACCTGAAACGTATTTGGACTGAGGAGCGCAAATTTCTGGGACCAGGCCTCTTGTGTCAAAGAACGGGGACATTGCTGTAGCTTCTAAACAGTCTAAACTCGTGGACCAGGACCCTGCGACCGGATCAATAGTTCCGAGTCTGTTGAGCTGTGGCGGCAAAGGTGCATTGAACTCATGATCTTCTCGAATGTGTTCCCTCCCGATCCTTCTCACCTCGCTCTGCCTGTTACACCTTGAGTCAATGCCTGCCTTCCATTTGCACCGGCGCTGGCTCAAACAAAGCGCATCCGGTACCCTTCCATCCGTCTAAGACCTGCTGGCACGGCACACCTGTGCCGTAAATGCTGGGGTAGAAAGCCTTCTACAGCAGCGCTGAGGATCCGGAACGCAACAACCAAGCTTAGCCGAGAAACGCTGATGTGCTGCTGGGCAGCCAGTTGTCGTAAAGTTCCTCCTGGCCACTGGTCGTGGGAGCATCTCTCACACCAAAACTCGAAGCCCCTCACATCCCCGGGCGCGGCGTGCCCTGTTTCCACCGTGGCCCACGACGAAGTGCTGCACGCCGTCAATTGGCAAGGACCGCTCGAAGGCGTGGACGTGGCCCGAGAAGACCAGGTCCGTCCTCGTTTGTGGAGCTCTTGATGCTCTTGGAGCACTGCACTACGTGAGAAGCACACCACAGAGCAATGGCAGCGGAGACGCTTGTCTGGCAGCAGCAGGGGACCAGCCGCTGAGAGGAGATTGCGTGTTGCCGCCTGTGCAAACGAGCGATAACCAAGGGCCAGATCCGGGAACGAATATAAAGAACGAAGTAGACGAGATCAGACGTGCTGGGAAGCCACTCTCTCTGCCCAAGGTTTCTTGAGCCCGCAGATACGCAAGTTGTAGCTTTGAGGTGAATCCAAATTCATGCAACACGTTTCAGCTTGGACTTCACCCAGACATCACACCTGCCAGCCCCAAACCGCTGCCCGCCACAGCGCGCCTCCCTTTCCGGCCGGTGCTCAACCGATGAATGGTGCCACGGGGCATGCGTCAACACCTCTTGTCACCAGAACATGACTTGGCTTCGGTGTGATGTAAAGATAAACACATCGCGGAAAGGTCCAGAGCAACCAAAACTCACCAACATGGATGGGAGGGCCTCCCCCTACATTTCTAAGAGTCGATTCGAGAGTGCAGATCGGGAGTTGTCTGCTTGAAGGGAAGTAGGCTGCTGCATCTTACTCAGAGGCCAGTTACACTGTCATCACCAGTCGTGCCACTGCAAGCTACTGTTGCCACCCCGAGCACCGCGACGTGTTCCGTCTCGGAGCGGTTGATGCGTTTCAGCTCGCTTTGGAGCCAGGTGATCTGAGGTGAGCTCGGCGAAGCGTCCGTGTACCTTTGTGGATTCACAACTAGTGCGGTAGTGCTAGCCATCATCAACTTGATGATGCTACATGTACACTGCGTGGTATTTAGAAGGTGGGGGCGCGTGCCAACAAGGGGGCTGCGTGCTTCATTTTCGGAATTGAGACTTCGGACAATGCCGGGGGCTCGGATCCTCCGAATGAGAAACGGTCAAGACTCTAGGCTTCCCTACGCACAGCCAGAGATGCCAAATCAACAGAGCGTGAAGTACCCGGTAGAAGCTTGCGTGCTTGGTAGTTAGTTGGCATGCTAATCACTCGGGAGTCAGCCGCATGCAGGTTGAAATCTGAAGGTTCTTCAAACTGGGGTGTCAGCTGTTGCCAAGTTTGGAATATGGGGTTGGTCAGGGTAAGTTATCATCCGTCCACGTGTTTACAAGGTGCTTCCGATTGCCGACGAGATCATGACCAGCATTTACAGAAAGGTGATGGGTGCTCGGTTTCCGTCGCCAGCATGAGCAAGGGTCCTTTGCATAATTATGTCCAGAAATCAGTTGGAAAGAGACATGATACAAGGTCACGATGCACATCGACCATGTACGTAAGTAATCTCAACACCTTGAAACCCTACGCATGGAATGCAACCTGTTTGTTGAGCGGGAGCGCAATGTGCATGAATGTGGTGAGAGCACTTGTATTCTGCTCAGTGTACTATTACTACTGCTGCCCATAGAGAAGCACCAGCGTAGACATGAATGCAACTCGTGGACTATGGGCTCACTGTCACAGGCACGGTGCGGGTTCAGCACCAACAAGTGAACGCATCCGACCTGCCATTTCGGTCGCATCATGTGGTTTCAGAATCCGCTTTGGTCTACTGGCTGTAGGCAACCGCGAGTTTCTGGGTGCACATGTCCGATCCACTGCAGCTGCTCCCGCACCTAGAAGCTGCTTGTTTCGACCATCGCTGCGTCCACAGCGTTTTCGAGAACCTGGCCTCCAAAGAGAAGAAGGAGCTGCCAAAGTCGAAGCTCATGCTTGGAAAATCGTAGGTCAACCAGCCCTGCCAGGCGTCCTGCATTTTGCTGGTCTTGCGCCGTTCAACTGCTATGCTTGCATGCGTGTACTCCGTTTCGTCGTGATACACAGGCACTGATTGGCATGACTTCTTTGGGCAGCGTTTACGTGGGGGTGATGTTGACCGGCGGTCAAGCCGTAATCCGTAGTCTGCCTTCAGTCCGCCCCATTCCGACCTGTGGTGGCGCGGAGACCGTGGCTTCCCTGTACTGTGGAGTGCGCCAGCGGCTGCGAAACGGTAGAAACGGTTCACCTGGAGCCACAAACAGCTGGAATAAGTGACTGTGTGCCAGGGAAAGCGTTTCTGCAGGGGTGTCAAGTGGGTGTCTGCAACGCATTCGTTTTGCTGACCTCTTGTCTTGCAAGCAGCAATCGATGGATGGGTTCCGGACCATGATACCTAATCTCTCAAGAAGCGACGTGAACACTATAGTGGAGCACGGAAGCCCTTCACCTTCCGATCTCCAGAAGAGACCAAAGATAAGGTCTCGGTCTCAAGTTCAAAGGCGCACACCTGTGATCTCATCGGGCTCGATTTCCTGCGGGTAGAGCGAGGGAGAGAGGAGAGAGAAACAGAGGGGGGAGGGATGCACATGGAGGGAGGAAGGCGGAAGAGAGCTAGCACCGGAGACAGGGACAGCGAGAGAGAGAGAGAGAGAGAGGCAGACAGACAGACAGACAGACAGACAGGACAGGACAGGACAGGACAGGACAGGACAGGACAGGACAGGACAGGACAGGACAGGACAGGACAGGA